CAGGTCCTTCAGCGCTTCGGCTTCACGTACTCCTCGCCTCAGGCCACTCCTCTGCCTACTCGCCACTCGCTCTCAGCTCTGCCTTCGGATGAGTCCGTAGAGTCGAGTGGCCCGTTTGCAGAGCTTGTTGGCTGCCTCATGTACCTGATGACCTGCACACGACCTGACCTTGCATACCCTCTTAGCATTCTCGCACGCTATGTTGCTCCTGGGAGACACCGACCAGAGCACATGGCTGCAGCGAAGAGGGTGTTGCGTTACTTGTGCAGTACGTCGGGCATGGGGCTAGTGCTTGGAGGGCGCAGTCCAGTGGTCCTCACTGGGCACGCAGACGCTTTTTGGGCTGACGACCAGGCTACGCAGCGGTCGTCACAGGGTTACACCTTCAGTCTTGGTTCCGGCTCTGTTTCGTGGCGGGCTACTCGCTCGTCTTCTGTTCTCGGCTCCAGTTGTGAGGCTGAGATCTACGCTGGGGCTATGGCTGCACGGGAGTTACGCTGGCTCACCTACCTGCTGACCGACCTTGGAGAGCAGCCTTGTTCTCCTCCAGTCCTATACGTAGACAACAAGGCCATGCTGGCCTTGTGTCGAGAGCAGCGACTGGAGCACAGAACTAAGCACATTGCTCTCCGCTACTTTCTTGCTCGTGAGCTACAGCAGCGTGGACAGTTGCGACTTGCGTACGTGGCCTCTGCGGCCAACACTGCTGATGTCTTCACCAAGGCACTTGCGCCTTGTGATCATCAGCGTTGTTGCACGCAGTTGGGTCTTGTGCCTGTCTTGCCTCACTTGCTCTCCTCTTGACCTTGCTTGTACCTTCGCCTATATATACTCTTGCTCTTGCTTACTTGACTCTTGTATATCTCTATATATGATCTTGTATGTGAACTGGCCTTCTGGCCTTGGAACTTGTGCTCGGAATGCGTGGTGACTTTGTGATCCACCCTGAGCTTTGCTTTGCTTTGCTTGACTGGTCTTGTGACCCCTTGTTCTCCCCCACTTTGCCTATGGGGGTGTGTCAAAACATATAGCTTACTCGTTTCTGTAGGCTATAGTGGGGTATCCCATAGGGGGTACAACCCAAATTAGGGTTTCCTATTTGTACTCACTTCATTCATAGTCATTTCCATTCTCGTTCATATCTTCTCAGCTTCCACTCCGAAATCGCTTTTACTTTGCGAGGGTCAATTTTAATACCCTCCCCTAAAACCACGTGCCCCAGGAACTCTAGCTCCGACTGTATGAACTCACACTTAGAGCCCTTAGTAATCAGCCGGTTCTGCTGCAAGCGCCGGAACACCTCCTCTAAGTCCCGTAAGTGCTGCTCCCAAGTCTTGCTGTACACCAGTATGTCGTCCAGGTAAACAATAACTTTTTTGTCCAGCATGTCCCGAAACACCCCATTCATGGTGAGCTGGAAAGTCGAGGGTGCGTTCGTCAACCCGAACGGCATCACAGTGTACTCGTAACTGCAATAGCGGGTGCGGAATGCAGTCTTCGGGCAGTCGTCGGCGAACACGCGAATTTGGTGGTAGCCACCTCGCAAATCGATTTTCGAGAAGAAGCGAGCCCCGCGAAGCTGGTCCAGCAGGTCGTCCACTCGTGGGATCGGGTAACGCGACTTGACCGTGACCCGATTCAACGCTCGATAATCGATGCACATGCGCAGGCCTCCGTCCTTCTTTGGCATGAACAGTATCAGGGCGGCATATGGTGACGTGCTCGGCCGGATAAAACCCTTCGAAAACAGATAATCCAGTTGTTTCCGCAACTCGTCGAGCTCCGGTTGGCTGAGCCGCCATTGTGACCGAACAGTTGGTTTTGCGCCTGGCTCCAGCTCGATCCTGTGGTCCTCCGGACGCTGAGGTGGCAGCCTGTCAGGCAAGTCATCCGCGAAAATTTCGGGATACCTCCGAAATTATGCTCGCCACGTCGTCGGGTACAGCAGCGCAGAGCGTGTCGATGTCGGCGATTTTTTCGGAAGTCACCACCTCGTACAGCTGTACGGCGTAGCCTTGCGCTCCCCGTTTTATCACCCTTTTGAGCGTTATCGCGTTGACACGTGTTGTCATCGGCTCCGGCTCCGCCCATTTCGGAAGTGTCACGCGCCGCTTGTTGCACAGCACCGTGATCGCCCCCGTCGTCCAGTCGATCGTCGGATTGAATCGCTGTAGCCAATCTCGTCCCAGCAACACATCACAAGCGTCCAGTGTTGTCGCCAGCATTCGCATTGAAAACCCGAAATCATCGCCACACTTCATTCGAATTTGTCTGACCTCGTCTTTTATTGCCAGCGGTGTCCCGTCCACCAGTCGCGCGTCAATCTCGGGCAGACACCTGTCCAGCTTTACCCCAATTTTTTTGGCCGTTGCCAGGTTGACGAGACTGTGGCTCGCCCCATCGTCAACGAATAATTTTATTTTATTCCCGTTAACTCTCCCCACGACCAGTACAGGGTGATCCACATGTTCATCCACCTTATTCGTCCGGTTGCGGTCGATAGCCCGAATCGGTACCACTACTCGGTGTGGATGTTGATTGCCGGGCGACGAGGACTTGTCAGTAGGTGGCCCGACTGCTACTGACTCGTCTCTTTTCCCGACCCCTCTCCGTCATTCCTGTTTCCCTGTTTCAGCTTCTGGCAGTCTTTCCTCCAGTGGCCCGGTTGGTTGCAGTTGAAGCACGTGTTAGGTCCACATCTCGTGCATCCACCCCGTTGACTGTGGGCTAGCGCGGCGGTCCACGAAATTGAGTGCCCTCCCGGGAACTCATTCTCGCCCATTGCGTCAGCGCATCCGTTGATTCAGCCACCTGGATGGCATCGAGAAAACCGCGTGGCCTCGCCCGTCGCACCTCGTACTGTACTTCGTACTTGAGGCCTGCGACATATCGGTCGAGTCGCTCTGCATCGCTCATATCGTCCACTTGGTCAGCCAAATTGCAGAATGTTGCCGTGTAATCTTGGACCGACGCCACCTGCTTCTAGGTGCGCAGCTTCATGCGAGCAGAATCCGAGGCGGATACATGCTCGAATCTGGTTCGCAGCGCGGCACCCCACTCCGTCCATGTGCGTATCGTGGCCACTCCGAAGATTGAAGTTGCTCGTTGCGTGACAGTTGTCCAGGTCCCGTCGTTCGCACGTGACATCCCTGCCGGAGTCCCCTCTGTCTGAAGAGTCCGCTTCCACCACTCCAACGCCGGCCCTCGTAACAGTGACACTGCAAAATTAATGCGGGTAGCTTCGTCAGCAATTTGCGCAGCATTGAAAAACACCTCCACACCGAACAACCATGCCGACACAGTGACGGTTTTGTCGCTGGGGTTGAACGGGGGCGGGTTCGTCGGCTTTATTTTAACAGTTGTTGAGACTGTTGCTGCTGCATGCATCGGGGGCGCCACTGAAGCCATCACCGGGGTTGTCGCTGTTGCCTGACGTGGCGTAGACTTCGACTGTTGCCTCGGCGCCGCTCGTGTCTGTTGCTGCAGCTGTGACTGTTGCTCCTGCGCCCCTTGTGCTTGTTGCATCCGTGTCGTCCACTCATCTTCAGCGTCCAGCGAGTTCTGTAGCTCGCTAAGGACCTCATCGTTAGGCGCGAAGCTGCTACTTGCTTCATCCACGGCGGGCGACTCCTGACGCGCTTCACCTCGCGTCTGGCATAGCTCGGCGTTTTCCACCCACAGGCGATCCAACTCGCGAGACATAGTCTACATGTTGGATTGCATCGCCCGAAAGTCCTGCAAGAACACGTCAAACTCTGCTTGCGTCATATTTCGGAGACTCATTCTAGCGGGCAGCGGGTTAATAACGATTTTTATGGTTTTGATGAAGGCGCAAACGCTATTAGTCGGAGCGAGATAATCGTATCTATCTCTCAGCCGACCGCTTTGCAGCCCACCAAACCTATTGCACCCCTGCACTAAAACTACCCCGGAAAGTGGAGGGTAACCTAGGAAAATAGCTCTGATACCAAGTGTTATGAGTTGTATGAAAGAAGAGTGCGCAGAATGCAATATCGCGGAAGTGATTACAACTACTGAGCAAACAACGAGGCCTAGGCATAATATAGCACGGCTAGCTGGGCCGAGGTCGCCGAGTCGCGCAAAGGTTGGGTGTAGGTTTGGGGTTGGGAAACCCGAAGGCGACGCGGGAGACGTTCGGAAGGCGAGGTCGACGGACCGAGCCTGAATTCCGAAAGTTGGAATTGTACGCGTAAGAGATGCGTCAGTAAGGAATTAGCGAAATTCCTTACAGTTATCGTACGCGTTATAGTGCCCCATGTATGTTACCATTGACATATTTTCCCTTCCATTTTCGGTTTGCACGATAATAAGGAAGACACAGCAATCACTCTGGTGGCGTGGCCAGCACGCCATTTTTCAATCACGCGTTTTCGCGAAAGTAAAGCGAAGGCAGAAAAGGAAATGTAACGTGACTGTGGGAAATCAACGACGCGTCACGAATCCCGTCGGCGACATCGTCACCTCGCGAAGGAAATCGCCGACCTTCCTGAAAACCTTGGCATGGCGTCACGAAGACCCCGAGGTCAAAACCTTGGGCTAATTTTCTGGCGGGAAACGTTTTTTTCGGACGACTACAGTACATTACTGTACCTTGGGTGTTGCGTGGACTGTGGGATGTGTGGCGTGTCGTTGGGGCAATCTCGAGGAGACACACTGAACTGACGCCACTGTTTTGACACTCGTTCCTGCGGGATTGGCTTGTCGGTGTGGCTCTCAAGCAACCGCGTGACTCGCGCTATCGCAGCTATCAATGGTTGCTGGAGCCTGTGCGGCTCGGCAGCTCCCGGATCATTTATAGTTCCTGGCTTGATTAGGACAGGACATTATTGGCTGAGTCCTTAGTTACGGCTCTGTTGCTGGGACTGCTCTCTTCTCCCAGAGCGGAAGCCTTCACAGTGTTTTGTCAGTTCACTCTATACAGCCGGCCGTCTCTGACATAATTGATTGTAGATACACAAGCCCCGGCGAGCACGGCACTAATGGCTGACGCAGCCGACATTCCAGGAATGCTGACCAACAGCATGAGCGGGATGGGAGGCGCCGTAGATTTGCTAACGTCACTCGTGTTTCGATCTCCGGTCCAAGGCGGTTTTCCACCCGTCAACGGATTTCCACGCGCCGATACCTACGTGAACGGCGATGACGACGCAGCAGCAGCCTTCGGCGAGTTCAACCAAACCGACAATGGCACACATCCTTATAGTCACATCGATTTTCAGAAGAAACCCGCGCTTTTCCTGGCGCAAAGCGTGCTCAATCTCGTGCTTCCCGCGTCGTCGCCGCTCTACCCCTTCATCATCACCCTCCTCTCCGCCTTTTCCCCCATTTTGGATGGCTTTTTACAACAATACCTCCACAACGATTTTTTTGCGGGCAGCGTGTGGCTCGTTGCGATCGGTCTGGTGGGCAGATACCTTCTAAGCTGGTTCCACTGGTCACTCGATTGGATGCGACACCGAGGAAATGTGACTGTAACGATCTCGCCAAACGACCAGGCGTTCACGTGGATTCAGGAATGGCTGAACGGATATAAGAAGCTGAGACCGTCCGAGTTTACCCTAAATCTGGAATGGCCGACGGATGATCAGGCAGATGGCGCAGACCGTAATAAGCCGATCGTCAAGTTCCTCCCCAAGCTGAAGGCAGCGCAGCACATCACATTCAACGGTGCCAAGGTAAGCTCTTCCTCATATAGGTTAGGTCGTGCAGATGTATTCTGACTGTTTGGCTTGGTTTTTTTTTTTTTTTTTTTTTTCAAGTCGCACATTTCTCTATTCTATGTGCTTCCCCTCACATTTCCGTCCTCCCTCTCCCCTCACCCTCCCTCCCTCCGCCAGGTGTCCTTTCAAATGCGCAACAGTCCGGGTCAGCTGGACCAAGGGGCTGAATTCGGCGACATTCTCCGCTCAATGAACCGCGAGGAGCTCGTCATCGAAGCGCCCTCTCAGGCCGTGCTCCAGGCAGTCGTGCAAGCCGCTACCGATGCAGCCATGGTGAAAAAGACCGAGAAGAAGATCACGTCTGTGAAGCGGTGGTGTGCAGACCAAGACTACTGGAAGTACATGGGTGAACGGGCGAGCCGGCCGGTTTCGACGGTGGTTCTGGATTGCGACACAGCAGCTCTTATCGAAGACGTGAAGCAGTTCTTAGCGAGTGCAAAGTGGTATACAGACCGGGGTATCCCTCACCGACGGGGGTATTTATTCCACGGGCCGCCGGGTTGCGGCAAGACTTCTCTAATCCAAGCCCTAGCAGGGGAGTTGGAGTTTGGAGTTGCGATAATCAGCCTGTCTTCCTCTGGTATGAGCGACGATTCCTTGAGCAGTGCTATGTGTGACTGTGACGAGCGGGACGTGATTGTACTGGAGGATATAGATGCAGCCTTCACAGCCACTAGGGAGAAGAAAGAGGGGAGCCAGGCGAACGGGCTGTCGTTTTCTGGCCTGCTGAACGCGATTGATGGGATTGCCGCCCGGGAGAAGCAGATCGTGATCATGACGACGAATCATATCGAGCGATTGGATCCGGCGCTGATCCGCCCTGGGCGGGTCGACTTCCGGATGTTTCTCGGCCTCGCAAGCCGCAGCCAGATCGTCCGTCTGTTCCTGAGATTCTTCTCGGAAGCTTCTAAGAAAGAGGCGGAGCAGTTTGCAGGGTTGTTTGAGGAAGGAGAGGTGAGCCCTGCAGCTCTGCAGGGGTTCTTTTTGCTGCACCGGGGTAGCGCTGATGCTGCCATGACCCATGGGCTGGCTTTTGTGGAGGGAGTGAGGGAGGAGAGGAGAGAGAGGGAGAGGAAGGAGGAGGAGAAGAAGAGGGAGGAGGAGGGGATGAAGGAGGGGAAGAAGGAGGGGAAGGGAGAGGGGAAGGGAAAGGGGAAGAGGGGAAGGGGAAAAGGAAAGAGAGGTGAGAGGACAGACAGTGGGGTGGAAGAGATTGTGATTGAAGAGAGTGATGCAGTAGGGGAGGAGGGTGAGATTGAAGTGGAGTGTGATAATAGCGAAGTGAGGAGGTCTGAAGGGAATGGAGATGATATAGAGGAGAGTGGGACAGAGGAGAGTGATGGGATGGAGAGTGATGCAGAGGAGAGTGATGCAGAGGAGAGTGATGCAGAGGAGAGTGATGCAGAGGAGAGTGATGCAGAGGATGAGTGATGCAGAGGATGAGTGATGCAGAGGATGAGTGATGCAGAGGATGAGTGACATAAAGGAGAGTGACACAAAGGAGAGTGACACCATATAGATTGGGAGTAAATGCGTTGTGTAACAAGTGTTAGAAGGGAAGGGTAGAGGAAGAATGGCAAGGAGAGGCAAGCCGATAGGGAAGGCATGGAGGAAGGAGAGGGAGTACTGGGAGTGATTTTCAGAGGGTGTAAGCCCTCGGCATCAAGCAGGAAGGGAGCTGTGAAAAAGAGTTTTGGGACGTCTCAAAGCATGGCGGAAGGGGAGGGAGCATTGGATCGAACTTCAGGGGGTGTGATGTGAGCCCGCTCAGCATGAAGCACAAAAAAAGGGTGAGAAGGAGGGCATGACTGTGGGGAAAAGGGTGTGGAGGGTGTGAGTATGACGCTCAAGTGGGGATGCTGAGTGTGGGAGGACGGTGTAAGTGGGGTAATTGAGTGGGCGGCCCATGGCAGGGAAAATGCCTGTGTATGGCGAGTACAGATAGGGACAGACGAGGATGACAGTCAGCTGGGTGGATAGCCGCTGTATGGTGAATACAGTTTGGTACGATGATTTGAGCAAAGCACTGAGCGTACCACCAGAAGCTGTAGTACATGTGGTGCTACCTGGCTTCTTGTTTTATTAGAGTCCCTTTTCAGTGTGCGAATGTACAGATGTATGTATATGTGTAGCGAGAAGTTGATACACGGAGACAATCACCGTACTTGATTCACGATGTTCATTCACTCTCTTATTCTGTGACAGAACCTCAAAGTTCCCATATGCATTTGCAAATCCTCTGGGGCTGTTTAGAGAAGGGAGAGGTGAGCCTTGTGGCTCTGCAGGGTTTCTTCCTGCTGCATTGGGGCAGTGCTACTGTCTCTGCTGCCATGCCTCGACCTAGTGCTGTCAAGTGTAAACTGTATTGGGGCAGTGCTACTGTCTCTGCTGCCATGCCTCGACCTAGTGCTGTCAAGTGTAAACTGCATTGGGGCAGTGCTACTGCTGCTGCCATTGCTCAAGGACCAGCCTTTGTAGAGGGAGGGAGGGAGGAGAGGACGGAGAGGGAGTGGGAGGAAGGAGGGGAAGTATGGTAGAGGGAGAAGGAAGGGGAGAGGGAGGAGCGAAGGGAGAGGGGAAGAGGAGGGGTGAAGTGACATGTAATGTGAGGTGAGAGAAATTTTGGTGGGATAAAAGCGAGGTCGAAGAGAGTGATACAGGGGGACGGGAAAGGAGGGTAGCCATGAGAAGTATACACCATAGCTGGACTACAGTAGCTGGATAGCACCGCTGTGCATTGCTCAGATGGTGGGAGGCATATTTGAGGCGCCTAGAAAATATATCACAGAAGCTGGATAATGCCTCTATGCATAGCTCAAACAGTGCAAGGCGCCAGTTTTCTTACCACATGTGGTTATGATATCACTTTTTTTCACTTCCACATGACTACTTACGGTATGTGTGAAGGAGGATTCACAGGCTGGCTGGAAGTGAACAGGAGAAAGATCAACTAAGAAGGACAAAGCTGGACAAACGATGAAATCAAAGAGAAGGGTACCAGAGACAAGCATTTATAAGAATGGATAAAGGCACAAAAGGAGAAAAAAAAAACACTACTATCTACCACACATTATTCTTGGTGGTAGCTGCAAGCTTCACGCAGCAGCAGGGATTGGTGCTGATGCTGCTGCTCCTCTTGTTGCTGCTGCTGTAGCAGTAGCAGCAGCTGTGGCTGTGGCTGTACCTGCTGCTGCCTGCCCTGCTCCTCCCCTCGCTCCACCTGCACCTGCTGCCCCCCCCTCCCCTCCTGCTGCTTCTCCTGCTGCCTTACCCCCACGACGCTGGTGATTGCGCCGACGGTGATGATGGTGGTGGGGGTGGGGGTTTGGATGAGGGTGCTTGCTGCTCTCGCTGCTGCTGTCAGGGGCACTGCCATGGCTGTTGAAACTCTCAATGCCATTGCCATTTGCCATGCTCCCTGGTTGTGTGCTAGCATCAGCTGTGCCGTTCCCGCCGTTCTGATGCTGCTGGTGCAGCCGCTGCTGATGCTGGTGCGGGTGCTGGTGCTGGTGCTGGTTCTGCCTGTGCGGTCCCTGTTGCATGCAAGGAGAGTGGATGGAGGGGAGGCAACGAGTTGCGCAAGAGGTCGACACAAAAGAGAGACAGAGAGTCAGGCACAGGTATAAAAGCGGCTGGGGATCTGTGTAGATTCCAACTTTCCAAGGCCTGTGATAAACCAAAGCACACTGCATTGCCCCTCATACAGCATCGGGAACCAGCAGCACTTAGCACCTTGTAGCATCGCATTCCAATGCACAGACTCTCACAGCACCACGCAGCACCCCACGCCATCTCACAGCACCATGTCCCACCTCACACCCTCTCACAGAGCCTCAGAGCACCGCACCGCTTTGAACACCTACCTGTCGTCCGTGGCCTGCACTGCGAGGAGGCTTCTTCCTCCTAGGCGTCACCACTGTGAATCCATCCTCCCCCTCCCCTGTCCCCTCCCCTTTCTCTTCCCCCTTCTCTTCTCCCTTCTCTTCCCCGTTCCCTCCCACTTGCGCTCCCTCCTCGCCACCACCAGCAAGCAACCCACTCATCTGTCTCCCTGCTGCTGCATGCTCCCCACCCTCCACTGCCCCATGGCCCCTGCCCTGAGCTCTCCCCCCACCCCTCCCACTGCGCCGCCTCCCCTCTCTTGCTGCCCTCCCACCACCAGTGCCATCAGTCCCCTGTTGGCCCCTCCCCAGCGCAGCCACAGCTGCTGCATGTGCCTCGCCATTCCCCAATATTCCCACACAATTAGAAACACCCGAGTCCCCTGAAACACCTGAAGCTCCTGAAACACCTGAGATGGCTGTGGGTCCAACAGCTAGCTCCTGATCAGGCTTCACAGGTGGCTGCTGGACTGATTTCGGGGCCCAGGTGGTTCGAGGGACAGAGGTCCCTCGCCTCCTCCCTGCGGCCCTCTGCCCGTCCTGCTCCTGCCCTGCCTTCTGCCCATGCGGCTGCTGCCCCTCCTGCTGCTGCCGCTGCCCCTGCTGCTGCCCCTGCTGCTGCTGCCGCTGCTGCTGCTGCTGCTGCTGCTGCTGCTGCTGCTGCTGCTGCTGCTGTTGCTGACCCTCCTGTTTCTGCTGGTGCTGTGCCCTCCCCCTGTTTGCCCCATGCTTCGTATGCTGCTGCTGCTGCCACTGCCGATGATTCCTCTGCTGATGCTGCGAATGCTGCCGGTGGTTCTGCTGCTGCCGGCCCTCTCCCCTGCCTCCCCCCACCACCTCCTTATCCACAGCAGCAGCATCAGCTGCGGCCTCCGCCCTATCCTCTTCATCCATCAAATCAGCCATATCGGCCCAAGACATTGACATTTTCAGCCCTGGTTTCCCCGCCTGCAGTCCCTTCGACTGCTGAACCTTCCCTCCCTTCCTCTCGGTCGTCTCTGCCCTATCCTCCTCATCCATTACATCAGCCATATCGGCCCAGGACATCGACACTTTCATGCCAGGTTTCCCTGCCTCCTGCCTCCCCTTTGCCTGCTCACCTTTTCCTCCCTTCCCCTCCATCTTCTTACTCCCTCCATTCTTGTCATCCACATCACCCCTTTCTCCCTCTTTCACCTCCTCGCTCTCTGGATCACTGCCAGAGTCGCTCAGAGAGAGCATTGAAATTACCTGTCCATCCTCCTGCTCCTCTGTCTCTTCCTCAAGTACCTTCTCTACCTTATCGTTTTCAACCCCTTTCCCTTCCGCTACACCCCTCTCATTCTCGCAGGGCCGGGGAGGGTCACAACCACCATCCCCAGACACCACAGTCTCGGAAACACACACCTTCACAATCTCAATCACCTCCTCCTCACTCTCCCTTGCCTTCTCCTCATTAACGCTACCCTTCTCCTCATCCTTGCTACCCTTCTCCTCACTCTCCCTTACCTTCTCATTCCCCCTTCCCTTATCCTCCCTCTCGCCCTCTCTTGTCGCATCCCTTTGTAGCACAATCCCATTCTCCTTAACCAGTGCTGGCTCTTCCTTTCCATTCTCGTTCGCTTCCTTACCCTCCGCCCCCACTTGCTCGCTCTTCCCCTTGCGCTCCCACTGCTGCTCGTGCTTGCCCCCCTTGCTCTGTTTCCCTCTCTTGCCGTGTGTCTTTGCCTTCTCCCCACTTCCTACCTTCCCAGCAGCCCCACCAGCAGCACCACCAGCAGCCCCACCAGCAGCCCCACCAGCAACACCACCAGCAGTCCCCTCCCCAGCCATCCCGTTACCAGGACCTACACCACCACTAAGCACCGCTCTCCACCCCACCACATTTGCTCCTCCCGTTCCTCCTGCTGCTTCTGCCACCACTGCTGCTCCTGCTGCCACTGCGGATTGTGAGTTAGCAGGATGGGCTGCTGCAGCAGCTGGCCCAAAGGCACCCCAGTTCTTTCCTGGAACGAACTCGAGAGCGTGAGGATTCATGGGCTTAATAGCTGGAGCAGGTGTGGGGGCTGTGGCGGCAGGGGATGTGGGGGCAGTAGCAGCAGGAGTGGATGGTGTGATGGTGGTGGGAGCTGATGGCAGGGTGAGTGCGGATGGTGGGGTGAGTGCAGATGGTGGGGCAGTGGGTTGGTATGGTGTGGCATGTGCGCTCAGGCCCACGCCAGCAGGTGCTGCCACTGCTTCAGCTGCTGCTGCAGCTGGGGTCGCTGGCTCTGCTGCTTCTGATTCTGCCACTGCTGCCACTTTTGTTGATGCTGATGGTGGTGCCGCAGCAAGTGCATCAGAATCCAAGCATGCATCCACCGCAGGTGCTGCTACGTCTGCAGGTGCTGCTACGTCTGCAGGTGCTGCCACAGCTTCAGGTGCTGCCACAGCTTCAGGTGCTGCCACAGCTTCAGGTGCTGCTAAATGCACAGGAACTGCTACAGTCGCTAGTGCAGCTGATTCCTCAGGCTCAGGCGCTGCTATAACCCCAGGTGCTGCCTCAGGTGCAATTGCAGCTTCAATTGCTTCCTCAGAGGTTGCCATAACCTCAGGTTCTTTCTCGGGTGCAGTTAGAGCCTCAGGTGCTTCCTCAGGTGCAGTTACAGCCTCCGTTGCCGCAGAATCTGCTGAGACGCCACTATGGGCAGCCAAAGCAGCAGGGTCAGTACTGGCAGCACCGTCAGATACCTCACTCTCTGCAGCTGCAGCAGCAGGAGCAGGAGCAGCAGAAGAGGGCAGAGGAGGGAAATCGTCTCCAGAGAGCATCAGCTTGGCATCAGAGACGGCTGGTGCTGGAGCAGCAGGAGCAGCAGCAGCGGCAGGAGAGGCAGATGGATCAGCAACAGCGGAAGCCATAACCACAGCCGGAGCATGTGCACCCACAGGCAGAGGCCCGCCCACAGGCATCAGCACCCCCCCAGGCACAGGCACTCCCAGTGGCATGTGCACAGGCATGTGTACAGGCATGTACACTGGCATAGCAGGCATAGCAGGTATGGTAGGTATGCTAGGTGCGCCTCCCATGGCTGCACCAGAACCTGCAGCAGCAGCAGCAGCGGCGGAGGCAGCTGTAGCGGCTGCATTGCGCAGGAACCTGGGTGGGATGAATGCCGGGCGGTTGTAGCGGTGGCTGTAGCGTTGCTGCTGCTGCTGCTGCTGCTGCTGGCTGTACTGCTGCAGGTCTTGCGGCTGCTGCTGCTGCTGCTGCTGCTGCTGCTGTTGGTACGAGTGGACATGAGAGTGAGGGTGTGGGTGGGCCTGTGGGTGGTAATAATAAGGGTGATGAGGGTATGGCATGGGGTAGTGACCTGGTGGTGGTGCCACGTACCCATGTGGAGGGGCCATCATTGGATGCATGGGGACTGGAATCAACGGCTGTAGCACCGGTCCAGCTGCCACTGGCGCTGCTGCTACAGCTGCTGCTGTTACAGGCGCTCCTGCTGCAGGAGCTGTTGCTACAGCTGCTGCTGCAGCCTCTCCTGCGACAGGTGCTGCTGCCACAGTCTCTGCTGTTGGTTCCTCTGATCCGGCTGGTGCTGCTACTGGAGCTGCTGAAACAGCTGGTGCAGGGATATCTGCGGAATCTACAGCAGCAGGAGGAGAAGCAGCCTCACTATTACCTGGTTCATTACTGGATAAAGCAGCACTAGAGGTCGAAGCAGCCGACGCAGGCTCAATCGTGGCGGCAGGTGCAATCGAATGGGAGACAGCGGAAATCACGGTTGCATTGGTTAATGTAGTGGTGGTGATGGATCCAGCAGCAGGTTGGAAAGGTGAAGCCAATGGGGAGAGCTTGGAGGGGCTGTGAGCCGAAGCTGACGTGGCAGAATTAGCCGCTGTGACTGCTGCACTGCTGAAACCTGTGCTGCTGCCTGCTGCAGTGCTACTGCTGCTGTTGGCAGTGCTGCTGGTGTTGGTGTTGGTGCTGGTGGGGTTGGGATCAGTCGTTTTTCCACTTGAGGGTGCAACAGCGGAATCAGCAGGAGCACCAGGAGCAGCCGCCGCAGGAGCAGCAGTAGTGACAGCAGTAGCAGTCGCCTTCCCTACCACCCCCACCCCCGCTGCCATTTCCTCTCCCGCTGGTTTCTTCCCAGCCAAACCACCGCTCTCCTCAGCTTGACTTGTCTTCCCTCCCACCTGCTCCGCTTGCTGCGTCCTCCCTGTTGTTCCAGCGGTCTTGTCGCCACTGGTCGTACCGACAGCAGTGCTTGTAGCGACAGCAGCAGGGATTTTACTGTTGGCAGCCGCATCAGAACCTGCAGCACAACTGGGGCTCGTGCTAGTGACTGCTCCAGAGCTGCCTCTGGCTGCTGTAGCTGCTACAGGTGCGACAGCTGCTACAGCTGTTGCTGGGTTGTCACTGCTTCCACTGCTCGTACCTCCTGCAGTGGTCGCACTGGCAGGGCCATTCTCATCTGTCGCTGAAACTCCAGCCGCAGATTCTGGCACCGCTGGTGCAGCAGCCAATGGCGTTTTGCCAGGTGGCAGAAGAGCGATCTCCTTCCAGGAGCGGGTCATGGGGCCTGGTGGCGGGACAGGGGCCCTCTTGGGAGCTGCAGTGGCGGCAGTGGCTGTAGCAGCTACCATGGCTGTAGCAGCTGTAGTGGCTGTAGTGGCTGCAGTGGCTGTAGCAGTTGTAGCATCCATAGCATCTGTAGCAGGTTTAGCAGCTGCAGTTACCGCGGTGGCTGCAGAAGGAACTGTTGCAGCAGTAGGGGCAGTGATAGGAGGAGTTGTGGCCGTGACACGAGCTGTAGCAGCAGGAGCAGCAGTCGGAGTAGCAGCAGGAATAGCTGAAGCTGCAGCAGGAGCAGCCTTAGCAGGAGTAGAAGCAGGAGAAACGGCAGGAACAGCAGAAGCGCCAGGACCGGCAGCAGCAGCATCACCAGTAGGAGTAGCCGTAGCAGCAGCGGCAGCAGAATTGGCAGCCAAAGCAGGTAACTTGGAGCCTGCACTCAGACCCCATGCATTCTTCCTCTCACCCTCTCGCACAGGTGCTGCTAGGGCCACGGCCGTGGGGTTCACATCCCCAGCTGCAGCACCACCGCCAGCAGTAGCAGCAGCAGCAGCAGCAGCAGCAGCAGGGATCGCTTCAGCAACGTTGGCAGCAGCTGCCGTATGGGAAGAAGCAGCTCCAGGGGCAGGAGTGACAGGCGAAATGCCAGGGCCCACCTTCTGCCTGCTACTCTCCCCTGCCACGCTCCCTCCCCCTCCTACTGCTGCCGCTGCTGCTGCTGCTCCTCCTCCTGCTGCTGCTGTTGCTGCTGCCTGCACTAGCTGCTTGGGACCAGCCCGTTTGCCCCTAGCATCCCCTCCCCTTACCACACCCCTACTAGCTGCCTTAACCCCCCCAACGACCATCCCTCCTCCTCCTTCTCCTGCTCCTGCTCCTGCTCCTGCTCCTGCTCCTGCTCCTGCTCCAGTAGCAGCAGCTGCCGCCTTGCGCTGGTGGCTGTGCCTGTGAGCGCGGCTGCATGCCGTCTGCCATCCGTCAGAGTCATCCCCCTCTGCTGCAGCCCCAGATGTTGCTGCAGTGGCTGCAGCACCAGCACCTGCAACTGCGGTTGCTGCAGCCCCAGCAGCAGCAGAAGCGGAGGCAGGTGCTGAAGCAGCAGCACCAGCGGCAGCAGCAGCAAACGAAGGAGCGTGGGCAGCAGCAGCAGCAGCAGCAGCAGCAGCAGCAGCTGCTGCTGCTTCTGCTTCTGCTTCACCACTGAGAAGCAGCCTTGACCCGGTGTCTACTTGTGCTGCAGCTGCTACTGCTTGTGCTGCTGCAGGAGCAGGGACACTGTCAGTGACCTCGTTATTAGCACCTCCAGAGGCAGGAACTTCGCCAGTAGAAGCCTCAACCAGTCCTGAGCTCGTTTTCTCTGCTGTTTCTTCTCCACCGGTGGCTGCTGCTATGAGGCGATCGCCCTTGGACTGAAAGACAAGATGAGAGGGGAGAACGGGGGGAGGGGGGAAAAGGGTGGAATGAAGTGGTGGAAGCCTCAACCAGTCCTGAGCTCGTTTTCTCTGCTGTTTCTTCTCCACCGGTGGCAGTGTTGTGTGGCGCTGCTGCTATGAGGCGATCGCCCTTGGACTGAAAGACAAGATGAGAGGGGGGAGGGGGAAACGAAGGAAGCGGAATGGGGGAAAGGGGGAAATGGGGGAGCAGGGGAGACGGAAGGGGAGGGGGAGGGGAGGAAGTGAGGGAAAAGGGGTGGAGGAGGGATTGTGGGGGAAGGACGGGGAGGAGGGGATAAAAAGGGAGGGAGTGATCACCAAGGCAAGGACCGTAAGGGAGGCAGCGGGGGAGATCACCAAGGCAACATAACTCTTGAAGAATTAAGAAAAAGCAAAAACAAACATGTTAAGCTACGCATACATGTCAAGGCACAAGCATTGTACCTTGAGCAAGGGGCGTCAGTGCCTCGTGTACGTACCTTGAGCAAGGGGCGTCTGTGCCTCGTGTACATACCTTGAGCAAGGGGCGTCGGCCTCGCTTGCGCATGATCTCCTGAATCACCTCCCTCCGCCCCTGCTCCTCGTCGTTGATGAATGAGAGCAGGTCCGACACGCTGGGCGGTGCATGGGAAGGGAAAGAGAGAGAAAGCAAGAGAAGATGATTCTTAGGAGAGGTAAGATGCCCCCCCTTGCCCCTGCTTCTTGTTGTTGATGAAGGAGAGCAGGTCCGACACGCTGGGTGGTGATGGGGAGGAGGAAGAAGAGAAAGAAAGAAAGAGAGAGGAAAGGAGAAGAATGAGAGGGTGATGAATAGAAAAGGTTAGACAGCCGCTCCTGCTCCTTGTCGTTGATGAATGACAGCAGGTCCGACACGCTGGGTGGTGATGGGGAGAAGATAAAAGGGGAAGAAAGAGGGGGGAAGAGAGGTGAGAGGGGATGAGAGGTGTGAGGCGAAGGAGGTGAGAGGGGAAGAGAAGGAAAGTAGGGACTCTTGCTCTCATGCGCATGCGTCTCACATCAGCTGTCTCACCTGAGGTGCCCTTTAGATGCAATGGTGGCGTCTGGCTTGGGCGTGCCTGTGCGGGCTGCCTCCTGCTGCTCCCATGTCAGTGCCTTATCAGCTCAGCGCCCCCCTCTCACCCTCTCCTCTCTCTCACCTGAGGTGCCCTTTCGACGCGATGGTGGCGTCTGGCTTGGGCGTTCCTGTGCGGGCTGCCTCCTGCTGCTCTCATGTCAGTGCCTTATCAGCTCAGCGCCCCCCTCTCACCCTCTCCTCTCTCTCACCTGAGGTGCCCTTTCGACGCGATGGTGGCGTCTGGCTTGGGCGTTCCTGTGCGGGCTGCCTCCTGCTGCTCCGCTGCCTTGCTCTCAAAGTACTCCAGCCATGCCGCCGCGTCCTGGGAGAGTGGGGGGGAGGGGGGCATTATAGAGAGAGGTTGAGGGGTTTTTGAGAGATGAGGCTGTTCCGCTGCCTTGCTCTCACCAGCCATGCCGCCGCGTTCTGAGAAGGGGGAGGGAGGGAGGGGGGGGGAGGGGGGAGAGAAGGGGAGGGTGAGAGTGAGGGTGAGAGGTTCGTAAGAGATGAGGCTGACGCTTGCTGCCTTGCTTTCAACTCAAACTACTCCAGCCATGCGGCCGTGTCCATAAAAAAAGCACCTCATATCAGTGCTCTCCCATTCACATGAAAACACGGCCGAGCCAGGAGAACAAAGGGGACAACTCACCAACGTCCTGAGATCATCAGGGACGAGCTTCGCCTGCAGAATGTTCAGCATGGCCTGCCTTCTAAGGCGCCTGAAAAATCTTCCTGACTCACCAGGGTTCTCAGGTCGTCAGGGCCCAGTTTCGCCTGCAGGATGTTGAGCGTGGTCTGCTCGTGCTGCACTGACAGCGCGTACGCGTCCATGAGAGAGAGCGCGATGGCGATTGCGTGATAACTCGCGGCTGTCTGGATGTGGTCGGGGCCCAGCAGGCGGTGGTTGCAGCGCAGCGCGCGGTGCAGGTAGCGCAGGGCGAGGTGGAGCTGGGAGAGGCCGTGCAGCATCATGGCCATGTTGATGTATGTGGCCGCGCTGTTGGGGTGCTCCGAGCCGCATGTGAGGTGCAGCAGGTACAGCGCCCGCTGCACGTACCTGGGGGGGGGGAGGGGGTGGAAGGGGGATGGGGGAAAGGGAGGAGGGAGGAGGTAAGGCACCCACCCACCGCACGAACAGCTGAGGACATGAAGCTACCCACCTCACCCCACTAAACACACCCACCTTATAACCAAGTTGCTGCAAGAAAATCACCTGATGGCCAGCTCTGTGTGCTGGAGGCGGTAGTAAAACACCGCCAGGTCGCCGTAGCACTTCATGGTGTCTGGGTGGTCCAGCCCCAGCTCCCTCGCTGACTGCGGTACCTCCGAGAGAGAGCATATGTATCACATCACATGCATGCACTGGGTACACACACCCACCTGATGGCCAGCTCTGTGTGCTGAAGGCGGTAGTAAAACACAGCCAGGTCGCCATGGCTCTTCATGGTTTCGGGGTGGTCCAGCCCCAGCTATAACCACGACCTAGGTACCCGAGCCGAGAGCACATGCATCACATGCATGCACTGTGCGTGCAGTCAAGACAACCTAATGGCACCCACCTTATTGCGAGTTCCGTGTGCTGCAATCGATAGTAGAACACAGCCAGGTCGCCGTAGCTCTTCATGGTGTCAGGGTGGTCCAGCCCCAGCTCTCTCTCGTTGATGTCAAGAGCGCGCTGCTGGTAGATGGTGGCCTGGTTGAAGTCCCCTGTGTGATACAGCACCACCGCCAGCAGGCTGTACGCCCCTGCTGTCATGCGGTGATACGCCCCACACACTGAGATGAGCTTTGTCAGGGCCTGCCATTGTGTGTGAGGGAGGGAGAGCAGGAGGGAGAGCAGGATAGAGGGCATGAGGGAGGGCAGGAGGGACGGAAGGAGAGGATTGGTGGTGGCCTGGTTAAAGTCCCCTGTGTGGTACAGCACCACCGCCAGCAGGCTGTACGCCCCTGCTGTCATGCGGTGGTACGCCCCACACACCGCTATCAGCTTCGCTAGGGCCTGCAAGTTGTGTGTGGGGGAGGGGAGGCACAGGGGAGGCAAGATGGAAGACAGGAGGGAGGGCAGGAGGGAAGGTAGGGGGGAGGCAGGGAGGGAGGGCAGGAGAGGGTGGGTAGATGGTGGCCTGGTTGAAGTCCCCTGTGTGGTACAGCACCACTGCCAGCAGGCTGTACGCCCCTGCTGTCATGCGGTGATACGCCCCACACACCGCTATCAGCTTCGCTAGGGCCTGCAAGTTGTGTGTGGGGGAGGGGAGGCACAGGGGAGGCAAGATGGAAGACAGGAGGGAGGGCAGGAGGGAAGGTAGGGGGGAGGCAGGGAGGGAGGGCAGGAGAGGGTGGGTAGATGGTGGCCTGGTTGAAGTCCCCTGTGTGGTACAGCACCACCGCCAGCAGGCTGTACGCCCCTGCTGTCATGCGGTGATACGCCCCACACACCGCTATCAGCTTCGCTAGGGCCTGCAAGTTGTGTGTGGGGGAGGGGAGGCACAGGGGAGGCAAGATGGAAGACAGGAGGGAGGGCAGGAGGGAAGGTAGGGGGGAGGCAGGGAGGGAGGGCAGGAGAGGGTGGGTAGATGGTGGCCTGGTTGAAGTCCCCTGTGTGGTACAGCACCACCGCCAGCAGGCTGTACGCCCCTGCTGTCATGCGGTGGTACGCCCCACACACCGCTATCAGCTTCGCTAGGGCCTGCAAGTTGTGTGTGGGGGAGGGGAGGCACAGGGGAGGCAAGATGGAAGACAGGAGGGAGGGCAGGAGGGAAGGTAGGGGGGAGGCAGGGAGGGAGGGCAGGAGAGGGTGGGTAGATGGTGGCCTGGTTGAAGTCCCCTGTGTGGTACAGCACCACTGCCAGCAGGCTGTACGCCCCTGCTGTCATGCGGTGATACGCCCCACACACCGCTATCAGCTTCGCTAGGGCCTGACATTATACGTGGGAGAGGGAAAGCAGGAGAGAAAGTAAGAGAGGATTGGTGGAGGCCGCTGTGATGTGATGCTCCTCTCCTCTGTGTGGTACAGCAGGACTGGTAGAAAGCTGCAGGCCCCTGCATTCATTCACGGGAAATGAGATGACTTTTGAGTCCACTCACAAGTCAAGACGTCTCAAAAACACTCGCATTTCACACAGGACTGCTAGAAAGCTGCAGGCCCTTGCCTTACCCAGCTTTGAAGTCTCCAGCAGCCACCCCACATCGTCTACCACTGTCACCTCGTCTCGTCCAGCCCTTTCATCCACTTCTCACCGATTTCCCCTACCTTGGTACCGCAAGAAACCGCTTCGTCGAGCTTGCCCTTGTCGAGAGCTGCCTTGGACGCCTCAAGCAGTGTGCGACCATCAGCTGACGTGCACAGCACGTGCTGCAGTGAGGGGATGATTTGATTAGAAGAGGGTTTGGAAGACAATCGAAACGGGAAAAGCTGAGTGTGTGCAGGCATCAGGTGACGTGCACAGCACGTGCTGCAGTGTGGGGATGGATGGGGGAGGGTTTGGGGGATTGTTGATGGTTCAGGGAGAGTTTGGGGAGGTTGAGTGCTGAACAGTGAGTGCGGGCATCAGCTGACGTGCACAGCAGGTGCTGCAGTGAATGGATGGCTTGGTTGGAGGAGGGTTTGGGGAGCGTCTGGAAAATTAAAGGAAGAAGATTGAGGCTGGCTAGTAAGCGGGGAGGTAGAAGGAAGGGTATGCGGAAATGGAAGGCACAGGGACTGAGAGATGAAAACAAAAAAGGGAGAAAGCGTGGGGAGAATGTAGCCCCCCACTGCTGCTTGGAGGGGAGTGTAGTAAGAAGAGGAGCTGACCTTGAGAACAGGAACCATGGAGACGATGTCAGTGGCGTGGAAGGGCGTGGGCGAGTTGAAGTCGTACGACTTGGGAGAGATCTCAATGCCCACCTGGGAGAAGAGGAGAGGGAGAGGGGAGGGAGAAGGGAAAGGGGGCGGATGGGGGAGGGTTTGGGCAAGGAGAAGAGAAGTAGCATGAAAGGTGTGTATGGGGGTGAGGGTAGGTTTTGAGATCGCGAGGGGAGGGTGGATCGAATGAAAGCTAACAGGGAGAGTGGATTGTAGAGAGTGTGAGAGATGTTGAGAGAGAAGGAGCAGAGGCTGAAGCAGCAGGCGGACAAGAGACTCCGCCCGGCCACATTGAGGCCGAGCGTTCTGAGCTTAGCGCCGACCCACCTTGAGGCCGAGCGTTTTGAGCTTAGCGCCGACCCACCTTGAGGCCGAGCGTTCTGAGCTTAGCGCCGACCCACCTTGAGGCCGAGCGTTCTGAGCTTAGCGCCGACCCACCTTGAGGCCGAGCGCTCGGAGCAGCGAGAGCATGCGCAGACCTGACCTGCTAGCGCCTCATTGTCGAGGTCAAAGCCGAACCGCACACGCGCAAACACACACACCCACCCGACAACACAATGTACCTCCCAGCTGCGGGAGAAGCAGGACTGCCAGCTCCTAGGGACCCACCTTGTTTTCAAGTCATCTCAAAATCCGCCAGCTCCTAGAAACCCACCTTGATTTCGAGTCAACTCAAAAACCGCCAGCTCCTAGGGACCCACCTTGAGGCAGAGCGCTCTGAGCAGCGAGAGCATGCGCAGACCTGCCAGCGCCTCATCGTCTAGGTCGAAGCCAAACCGCACTCGCGCAAACACACGCACCCACCCGACAACACAATGTACCTCCCAGCTGCGGGAGAGAACTGCCAGCGCTTAGAAACCCACCTTAAGGCAGAGAGCTCTGAGCAGCGAGAGCATGCGCAGACTCGCCAGCGCCTCATCGTCTAGGTTGAAGCCAAACCGCACTCGTGCAAACACACGCACCCACTGCCACACCATGCCTCCCAGCGACGCCTCCGCATCCCCCGCTCCCTTGTCCTCCCCCTTGCTACCGTCATTGTTAGAGAACGCAGTTGCGCCCTTTTTATGCACGGACGACCCAAAGATGGCATTGAAAGTAGCAGCTATGCTGGCTGCTACCAAGGAACTGGAGGCACCAGCACCAGCAGAAGCAGCAGCAGGTGCAGCGGCAGCAGTGGAGAGTGCAGTGGTGGTGACCACTGCTTGGATAGCGTGCTTTAATGCCCGCGCCACCATCTCATGTACAGCCAAGGACCGCACATGGGGCAGCTTGTCTGCTAGTGCAGCCTGGGGCGGCACGGGAGGTGGAGACATCGGAGCAGATTTGGGGGGTGAGGGAGGAGAGGGGGAGAGTGAGGAGGACCGACAAGGCAGAGGAGCAAGGAGAATGCGAGGGACACGGCCTTGGCTGATCCATAGCCAATGCACTAGAGGGCCGCAGGGCATATGGCCAATAAGCCAGTGAGCTTGCAGTAAAGCGGGCAGGCGATACTAGCCACTTTGCTAAGGGATCGCATGCGCATGCCACGAGTGTGCATGGAGTCAGCGTGCATGCGATTATCCACGGTAAAGGAGGGGGAGTAACGTAAGCAGCAAAAGCGCAACACAGCATGTGGACGGGAGGGGAGTGCGGGCTACTGACCACTTTGCCAAGCGATCGCATGCGCAGGACAGGAGTGTGCATGGAGTCAGTGAGTGCGTGACCGTCCACAAGGGGGAGGGAGGCGGTGTAATGTAATCAGCAACAGCACAGCACAGCATGTGGTCTGGAAAGGAGTGCGGGCTACTGACCACTTTGCCGAGAGATCGCATGCGCAGGCCGCGGGTATGCATGAAATCAGTGAGTGTGCGCCCATCGACTGGAGAGAGCTCCAGCGAGGCGAAGTCAGAGACCTTGAGAGGGCGCACAGGAGAGGCGGGGCGAGGGGGGAGAGGGGGGATGGAGTGGAGCAAAGAGATAAGGAGGCTGTTTGAAGCTCGCGGGTCAGTGAGTGTGCAACCATCCACAGGGGCGAGGTCCAAAAGGGCGAAGTTAGCGACCTCAAGAGGGCACACTGGAGAGGCAGGGAGAGGGGGGGGAGAGGAATTAAGAGAAGTGTGCATTCAAAGCTCGCCTTTAAAGGACAACCAGGTGCTTGCGGCAATAGGACGCGTGTTTCCAGCTCTACAAATCATTATTGCGTATAGGGTGGATTCAAAACGCTTACCAGCTTAGAGAGGGAAGTGTTCCTGTAGAAGTCCCGCGCTCCCTGCTTGAGCGCCTGGACGGTCTGTGGACAACGGTACAGGGAAGGGGGAACTTTTAAAACGTGCCACGACTGGAAGGTGAAAGAGAAAGGAGAATGCTAAAGAACGCCAACGGGCTAGAGGGCAGCTGTGGGTCAATGGGTTGGAGGGCAGAGATAGTTCCAAGCACGTTGTGCGTGCCACGCAGCATGCAGCCACTCCATCCGGAGCCACAGAGCCCAGAGACGAGGCTGGCTCAAGCGCGCAGGCCACTAGAGAGGGAGAGAGGCAGCAGGGCGGGTCACCATGTCATGCAGCCCAACGTGTGCCTTCTTGAGCTTCCCACACCTTTTCTCGGCCAGCAGCTGCAGCAGCTCTCCCCGTTTGTGGGACATCTAAAGAAAATATATCATCACGCTCAGGACAGAGGAAGGCAGCAGGGCGGCTCACCATAGCATGCAGCCCCACGTCCGCCTTCTTGAGCTTCTCATACTTGCTCTCACCCAGCAACTCCAGCAGCTCATCCCCTTCCCTGCCTGCTGCCAAGGGCTCCTCTTGCATCCCAACTGGTGCCTCCCCCTCACCCGCACCAGCAGTCGCAGGGAGAACAGCTCCTGTAGTGGAAGCAGACGTGTTAGCATCAGCAGTAGTGGCAGCTGCAGCTGCAGCTGCAGCACCTGCTCCTGCCTCTGCTGCAACACTCCCACTCTTTGCTCCCTCCGCTCCCCCCTCTTTTCCTCCACTACCTGCCTTCACACCGTCATCCTTCTCCTTGACTTCTCCCCCCTGAGCCCCACCTGCTGTATCCTTCTTCTCACCACTCTCTGCGCTCTTCTCCTCCTCCTTGGGTGGGTTCTGCAGGTGCTGCACCCAGCACGCCCCCAGCTCCCACCTCAGAATACCATCCCCAAACACATCCTCCTCTTCCTCCTCCCCCCTCCCCCCCCCCCTCCTTCTCCTCCCCCTCCTTCACACCCTTTTTCTCCGCCTCACCCACTTGTACTTTTTTCGCCTCCCCAGCTGCCTCTGCCGCTGCTCCGTCCCCCACCCCCATCACCCCTACACCCTTTTCACCCGTTGCACCCTCTTCGCCAACTTCTGTGGCCCCAGCTGCCTCACCCTTCACCACCATCACCCCTTCCTCCACTCCCTTCCCTCCCTCCGCCACTACATCCTGCCCCTTTACAAGCTTCTCCGCTAAGGCACTCTTCCTAGCCATCCGCTGCCTCTCCTGGGCTTCCTCCTCCTGCTGCAGACGGCCCAGCCCAATAGACAGCACCTGACGCAGAGTTGCAGCAGCAGCAGCAGCTGGAGCAGGAGAAGTGGCGGGGACACTCGTGGTAGTGTTGCTTGTGGTGGTGCTGCTCGATGCAGGGCTACGTGTTGGGGCATGCAGGGGGATCCGAAGGCTGCAGCACAAGAGGAGGAGATTGGCGGTTCACAGGTGACTGACTGACCGATAACGTGTGTGTGCTGTGAGAGGTTTACATTGGTGAGCCATGAAGCAAGTGCAGGTTGAGAGCGTTCAAGTCTGTACGAGCTAGCTATTAACGAATATGAGGTGCATTTGTGGAACACGGCGACTGTTGGGATATGGGCATGCCAATGAGACGAGGAAGCAGGGTGGCAAATATGTGTACAGGGATGCTATGGGAGGGGCCCTTGAGTATTCCAAGATACACAGCAACAATCTTGATTATTTAAACCCTACTTTTTGTGCCTGATTTTGAATATTATCAGGCTTGCACCATGCCTCACCTGTTGGCGTTCAGTGCATTGGCGCCTGCTTCCTCCTGCTCTGGAACATCCAGCTCCAACAACCTCTCCTCCCCTTCCTTCTCCTCCTCCTTCCGTTCCTCCTCCCTTTCAGACTTTCGCTCCGCCACCCTCTCTCTCTCCCTTGCACGTACCCCACCACCTCCTTCGCCAGCCCCTTTCTCCTCCCCATCCTCTGCCAATCCGCCCGTCCTGCCCTCCTTGCCATCTCTATCCGCCTTCTTCTCTCGCAGCGCCTGCAGCTGCGCCTGGAGCGTCTGGGCGCGAGCAGGGGCGTCAGGGACGGTCACTCGCGCTGTGAGGCCGTGCAAGTGAACAATGACTGTGCCCAGGGACTCTAGGTCCTGTGTGGGTGGGGGAACGGCATAGAGGGGAGAGAGGAGAGTATGGTAGCTGGACGGTGGAGGAGGAGAGAGTATTCCGAAGCACTGTCATTTGAACAGTGAGGTCTTGCAGGTGAATGATGACTGTGCCCAGGGATTCTAGGTCCAGTGTTGTTTGTGGGGAGGGGAGAGGAAAACGGACAGTGAGGGATGAGGGTGTTGCGAGCATGGATGAGAGAGGCACAAAGGCTGACACTGGTGGGACGTCAGAACTCATGGTCTTGGACCGCCTGGAGCTGCCTCTGATGGTTCGATCTCAGGGAACCACAATGGGCGTTTATGCGTAAAACCGAGCCGAGGCAGTGTGCTTTGTTTATTGTTGCGAGCATGGATGGGAGAGGCAGAAAGGCTGACACTGGTGGGAGACGTCAGAACTCAGGACTGCAACTCGGGTTGTGAGGTCAGTCAGGGGTTGCACAGAAATAAATAAGTGTTGGGAGATGTTGGCTATGAGGGGAGTGAAGGGATTTGAGAGAGGGTCAACGGGCTCAGGGTAGAAAAGGGAGCCCACTCACATGCACTGCCGTGCTTTCATCAGCAGAAATCCCCTTCAAAAGGCTCTTCGTTACCATGCACTCCTTCTCCTCCTCCCTCTCCCCCTCCGCCACCCTCCTCCACCCCACCTCCACTTTCGACAGCACCTTCCCACTCGGGTCCTCCTCGCCCTTCATTACAGTCACACGCATCCCCCCCTGCTGCTCCACCAGCAGAAGCCCTTTTTCCACCGCTGCTACTGAGCCCGGCAATCCAGGCTCGGCAGAAGCCCGACTCAGCGACACGTCCTCGGCTGGGGTACCCGTGACGGTCCCAGCAGCTGCTGCCGCCCCCCCAGAAGCTGCTGCCGCCGCCGCCGCAGCAGCAGTGTTGATGGCAGTGACGGCTTTGCGAGTTGCCGTGTCCACAAAGACGGAATGCAGGAGGAACGCCTTGCGATCCCTCACCACACGCTCCTCAGGAGTGTCAAAGGGGAGGAGAGAGAGCACTGCAAAGTCCCTCGCCCAGTCCCTGCTTGCTACTGCCCTCGCCCTTGAGTTCGTTTCCCTTCTCTCCTGCTCCTCTTGTTCCTCCTGCTCCTCCTGCCAGCAATGACCGCCACCGTTCCCTCCCCAAGCATCATCTTCCATGGGGAGCTGGGGGAAGGAGGATGGATTGGCAGCCGCAAGCGGAGGGATAACCCACGTGTTGGACCTGAAACCGTAGGGTGTGTTGCCAAACTGCCACGGAGAGGAAAAGCAAAAGATGGGCGGGATGAAACGTGATTAGCAGTCCTACTCAGCACATAAAAACAGAAGCGATGTTTGTGAAGCAAACAGCTATGCACAAATTGTCAACATGGTACTAGTGCTGGGAAACAAACCAGTGAGGTCAGCGTACCTTGTTTCTTTCCAGAAAGAGAGCAAGCAAGTCGTCATAGGCCTGCGACACAGGAAGGAAGAGAGGGAAGTAGAGAGTTCAATAAAGACAGGGCTTACACTGGACAACAGGGCCTTATATAGGAGTTCGAACATTCATCTGGTTTGTACAACAGCCACCGAGGCACTCACTCGTCACACAGGCAACGTGAATCCTGCAGCGGCTCTGAGCCTTTGCCCACCTTGGCGAAGGGCTTGCTCATGAGGCGCAGAAGGCCCACGAGTGTGGGTGCGTGCAGCCTGTTCCTGGGGCACAGGAATCCCTGGGTGGTGGCAACCACCAGCACCGTCTTCCCCGTGCACAGCCGCACCTGCAGTCCGCTCGGCAGCAAGCAGGAAACATTATATTTTAGTCAACTAAACAATGAGGCACAGAAGGCCCACGAGTGTGGGCGCGTGCAGCCTGTTCCTGGGACACAAGAACCCCTGTGTGGTGGCAACCACCAGCACTGTCTTGCCTGTGCACAGCCGCACCTGCAGTTGGCAACATGCAAGAGGGGAGATTCTACAATCAACTCAAAAAAAAAAAAGGCCCACGAGTGTGGGCGCGTGCAGCCTGTTCCTGGGGCACAGGAATCCCTGGGTGGTGGCAACCACCAGCACCGTCTTCCCCGTGCACAGCCGCACCTGCAGTCCGCTCGGCAGCAAGCAGGAGGAAAGAGTCAAGAGGCGAGTGGCAAGCAGCAGGAGGCAAGCAGCAAGAGGGAAGCAGCACGAGGTCAGTTACCTCAGAACCAAAGATCGGTTTCCTTGTGGCGGAGGGGGAAAGAGGGAAGGGAAGTAGGGGGGGAACGAGGAGGAGGGAGGCAGTGACATGTCGGCTGGGGAAGACAGGCAACGAGAGGAGACGAGGGTGCATGTGGATCATACTGGCTTCAATAAGACGCCCACGCACCTCTATGGGGAAGAGCTCAGTGCCCATATCCGGCATGTCCTGTGCGCCGCTTTTCTCTGCCCCCTTGCCCTTGGCGGACCCGCGCAGGGACCTGCGGATGGCTGTGGCGGATTGAAGATGGGGCGTGGGGAGAAACAGAATGAGGTGAGGTGAGGTGAGGTGGCCGTGCGTGCCCAGCATTGGGCAAGTGTATCAGGCTGACGCATCCCCTCAAGCTCATGCGTAGCCAGGGAGTCAAGCAGGCATGAGGTAGAGGCTTCACTGCCTAAGAGAACTCAGGAGCGTCAAGGAACAGTAGCAGCAGTAGCAGGAAGAATGTTTTCAGGAGATTGTTTTCACAGCAGGAAAACCAAGGGGCTCACCTTGAATGGGCGGAGTGAGGTGAGCAGCAGACAGAAACTCGTAAAAATCCCCTAGCTTCGACTCCTCAGGGAACATCCCTGTCATGTCGCCCTTCTCTGTGGCCGCTGCTGCCGCCGCCATAGCCTCCACCGCCTCCCTCTTCCCCTTAAACCGCCGCTTGCCATCCGCGCCCGTCACAAACAGGTCCTTCCCCACCTCTATCCCCGCCTCCTTCTCTAAATCTTTCCCCGCCTCCTTTCCCACCTTTTGCAGCTCTTTCCCCGGCTTTTGCGCACCTTCTGCTCCTGCCACCGCCACGTCCCTTCCTCCTGCCCCCTGAGTCCCTGCCTGGTCCCCCCCCGCGCTTGCTGCTTCGCCCGGCTTCTTCTTGAGGAAGCTTCCCACGTCCCCCAACCCCAGCACTTTACCGAATTCCGCCACGCTGCTGCTCGCCTCGGGAGGTGGTTCATGGAAGGGGACCAGGGCTGAGTCAGCACCGCCTGGGTTTGTAGGCTCGGTTTCTGCCGGACCAGCATTGCTGCCTTGGTGAGGGGAACCGGACGTCAGTGCAGATGCTGCTGCAGCTGCAGAGGCAGACGGCGCTGCTTCTGCTGCTTCTGCTGCAGCAGCTGCTTCAGCCTCCTCGCGTTGCTTGGTTGAGGGTCCAAAGGCGAGAGTGCAGGACACGATGTCAAGCAGCCGGCGGATGTGGGCCTTGGAAGATGCCTCCGTGTACTCCTCTGCATAATGGGGAATCACCATAGAGTTGAGCAGGGCGGAAGGGAGGGGAATACAGAGCTGAGCGCCAGTCAAGGGATGAGGACACGATGTCAACACCAGACAGCGGATGAGGGCCTTGGCTGTTACCTCCGTGTACTCCTCTGCATAACAAGGAATCACCATAGGGTTGGGCAGGGAGGAAGGGAGGGGGTCCAGAGAAGAGTGCCAGTTAAAGATGTGAAACAGCGGGTCCAGTTAGTGGGAGGCGGCTCAGACAGGAAGGCGACAGTGCAGGAGACAAGAGTCCAGCAGTCTGCAAGTGTGGGCTGTGACGGATGTCCCTATGTACTGGTGGGGTATGGCCAAGGGAAGGGGGAGGGACAGAAGCTGACAGTTTAGGACTAGCTTGTGTTTGGAGCGCAAGGGAAGAAGTTCAGGTTCTTGTGCGGCACTTGGTTATTTTTCTTGTTGCCAGTCACACATTCACTTCACGCCCGAGGAAAAGGATGTGGAAGTCTAGCGTGCTAATGCGTCTAGCAAGGGAGGAGGAGAGAAGAGACCGCAGAGTAGCCCGGGGACACGCAGGACGTTTGAGGGATGAGGAAAAAAAAGGTGAGCAGGGGTTGGGCCACATAGCTTCTGCAGTACTTCCAGGTATTGTAAGGCACGCAGGGGGGGGGGGGGGTGGGGGAGATGGACCAAAAGGCACGTGTTCTCACCTTGAACAAGGTCAAGGACGCAAGGCTTCAGTGCTACCACATCCACGGAGTCACGCAGATGAGGACCGCGGACCTGCACTCGCCGGGAGGTGGCACAGTGAAACAAGTTGTGGTGGCTGGGAAATATGGCACTGACATGCAAGGGACACGATGGCGTCGGAGAAGGACCAGCTAGTTAGCTACAGCTTATGAGGATAGCAAATCCGTGAGAACAACAAATTTGTAACGAATCAATTATAGAGGAGTAAAGCCTTGCAGCAGCGCAGAGGATTGAACTCCACCTGTGAAGTTCATAGGGAGGAGGAGAGAGGAACATAAGGCACTCGTAAGTAGAACGCACCTCGTGTGCGAGGGAGAAGTTGGTGAAGTGGCATGTGTCCACGTGTACGGCCAGGAGCCGTCGAACGTCCCATATGCGGTCTGTTGATATTCCCTGTAGCAGGGTCGGGTTGAAGAAAGGATAAGGTACCCTCTTTCGACTTCAGCGCTTGGTGCTGGTTAGCCGGCTTGGGAGATCAGCTGTCAGTGACAGAAACTCCGACTAGATGTTGCTTAGGTCATCGAGTGATTTGTTACAATCTTGATAGAACTTAGGGACTAACCTTGAGCAGAATCTGCTTTCCTCCTGGGACGTTGACCACTATGTCTAGAACCGTGGGAATCACTGCATTGGATTGGAACCAGTGAAAAATGAAAATATAGATTATGACAGAGTTCATTGGAAGCAGCCAGGTTACGCCAGTGTTTTGGATTGTAGAAAGGTTCGGTGACAATCTTGGTGAAAAAATTCCCTCAGTTTTGACACAATCATTCAATCATCCACACTCTGAGGCGTCTTTGCGCTGACTTACCTTTTTCTTCTTTCTTTCTCTTCTCAGACCGGGATTTATGACCCTTGGACTTGGCTGCTCCCTTGGCCATAGCTATTCACTTCAAAAGATTCTCACAGCACGCATTTAAAAAGGCAAGGCGAACCAGCCTCTGACCGAAATGCAGAGCAATGAACCGTTCAGACAGGTCGTAACACTACACAATAGCTGTTGTAATTAATTCGCAAGGGTGATGACGAGTATACAACAAAGATGATTCGTTGGCGCCACAGAACGCGCAGGAAAGCTAATGAAGCTTCAATTCGTCCTGTTGAAAATAAAATATCATTCGCCTTCGCGGCTGAGAGAGGCTGAAACGACTCGAACTACACCCAAGATTCAGCTAGTGAACACGTAGATAACAACTTTGTGTAATGCTAGTCTGCTGCTTGCTATTCAGTCACTATTGACCTGCTGGTTTGGGGAACACGAGGTGGCTCAACAATTGCTGCTGCTGCTTCTGCGGAACTTCAGTTCCTGATTCCTGAAACTAGCAGATGGATGATGGCGGTGAAGGCGCACGTATGATGGTGACTGTGCAATCATGCACCCATGGTTGGCCCTAACGAGTCAGAGTCAGGACTCAGAAACTCAGGGCTCATGGATTCTACCCCTTCGCCAGCAATTGCTGAGCCTGGTTCCTGAATCCTGCTTGGAGTGGTGCTATGGCTGATGAGCTGTGCGGAGTTCCCAGTGTAATCCGAAATTTCTGATCAGGGTTCAGCCAGGCAATCTCCAGGCCCATCCTCCCAATGCTTATGGGGATAGTGGAGTTCCCATCACGCAAGCAGAATGACAATGACGTGGCTCATTTGTGTAGTATATTAATGACGTGGCGAGTTCAGGGGGATGTCCCTGTCGACGCGGCTTTGAGGATGTTTGCCACGCGTGAGGGGGCGTAACAGGCTTATCGGGTAATTCAGGGCGAATCACGTGCTTGCGAGACCCGTCCCTGCGACGTCCACAGAGCCAAATGTCCCCACAGTACCCTCTGCGAAAAGGACGGCGAGCTTCGCATCAGGCAAATGTGTTGCCGAAACGTCGTCATGAGGGTTGTATTGCACTTCATGATGACGTGGAGGATTCACCCCTGTCACTGTCACAGCAAGTGGATTGCCCCACCCGACCCGAGCCGAAATTTCTAATGCTCTTTGGACACCTCGACGGCAGTATCCACGTAGCGCATATTCATTAGCCAATGAATCCAAGCTTCGGCGGCTGCCAATATTCAGCGCAACGAGCGAAAGGCGTCGGCTATTGGATAATGTGACACACAATGCATTCAGTCAGTTCTGGAAGTACATCCATGTGTACATCATTACAGAATGAACTTCAGTTTCCAAGCTACTTGGGAGTGCCCCAACAAGCACTAAATCAGTTTTCTGTTTTTTACTGATGGAAGTGAACTCAGGCATTAACATTTGTTGTTCGTATTGTGCCATCCCTCCCAATGACACTCTCAATATGCCATAACCTCGCTTTCTGTTGTATGGTGCATACTTCATGCTGAACTACAACATCAACACCATAGGGGCACCATTTGAATTTGGCAGCTATTTTCACAAAACTTGCATTACATCCATCCAGCACAAAAACCACCTCCATATAACCCTACAGCGCCCTCGCCACAGGGGGGTTGACTGGTAACCTTGCACATGCAGAGTGGACTGGGCACATTGCACAGCAACAACTTTCAAGTGAGCACGCCTGTGTTCCTGAGCATGCACCAGCATCAGCCCTGCTCCTGCTTGCTGCAGACTTCACATCCCAGGCTCATGCTCATGCCGACGGTGCTTGGGGCTTTAAGAGGAGGCCGCAACCCGGTTGCGAGGAGGTGCTTGTGTTCCTGTGAGTCAGGCATAAGAAATTGCGGTGTGGGGGGACAAAACTCGAGTCATTTCGTGGGAAGGCAAGCTAAGGAGACACAGGCAGATTCGTTACGAACTAAACAGGCAGGCGTCACATGATTCGACTCAATATGCGTGTGAGACATGAAACCTCTGATCTCCATGCCCATGCCCATGTCCATATCCGTATCCACGCACAAACCACAGACACATTCCGTTAGCACATTCACTGTGTTACCTTGAACTTCCCGTGAAATTCCCTAACTCTTGACATTCCCAGAACCATACACCACCAAATTCGCCATACCAAATTCCCGCCGATTCCCGTCATCCGCTCACCTTCACGGAATCCCTTGTTGCGGCGGCTGTGCATGTCCTGGCGGTACTAGTTTTCGGACGCCTCGAACCCTAATTCCTTCAGGTTTTCCTAAAAAAAACCCACCTTCACGGAATCCATTCTTGAAGCGGCGGGGCATGTCCTTGAGGTACCGCATGCGGCCCGTGCCCGTGGTCTTGCGCCGGATCGCCTTCACGCTCCAGTTGACTGCGCAGTTGGGGAATGCGGGGGGAAGGGGACGGAAGGGGGCGGAGCGGTGAGTGAGATGGAGACGCTCAGTTAAGACTACGGCATTTGATGCGGCCCGTGCCCGTGGTCGTCCGCCGAATAGCCTTCACGCTCCAGTTGACTGCGCCAAGGGGGGCGACGAAGGGGAGGGGGGAAGGAGGTGGAAAAGAGGCGCCGGGGTGAGGGGGGGGGGGAGAGGGGGAGGGGAGGAGGAGGAATGGAAGGAGGGGGAGGTGGTGGAAAGGACGGAGGGGGAGGAAGAGCGGGGAGGTGGTGGGGAGTGGTTGAGAGCGCGAGGAAAGAATCGAGGAAGCTTAGTGAGATGGTGAAGCAACTGACGCATGCGACATGGAGACGGGGATCGAAGCAAGGAGGACAGGGGAGAATGGACGCAGGGGAGTGGAGATGCCAGGGGGGGCGAATGAGGATAATGGCAGCAAACAGCCGCGAGGGACGGATGAGCGGGGGAAGGAGAAAGTGAGAGGAAGTGGGGAAACACGAGGAGGAAAGGGAGGACGCCGGACGGAGGAAAAACTGGGAAGGATAGAAGCGGGCAAGGGGGGATATGGATTAACGAGTTATGAACAGGAGATCGGAAACCTGGAAAGGGGACCTGGGGAGGGAGACGAAGTGAGAGGCAAGATTCAGTAAAGAGAACTTAGGTACTAAAAAAGGTGGAAGGGGAAAAAGGGCGGGAGGGAACGAAAGGTGGGAGGACTAGCGGGACTTACACTTGCGCACACGCGCAGCGGGGTAGCCGCAGGCACCGCATCGGCTCTTCTGAATGTGGTATGAGCGACGACCGCAGCGCCGGCACAGCGTGTGCGTCTTGTTGCGGCGCTTACCGAAACTACCCGTTCCCTTTCCCTGCACTCAGCAACGTTGGAGTAGGATGGGTAAGGAGATAAATTTGCAAGAGAACGATAGGGTTGACAGGTGGGGAGGACAAAGGTAAGGAGGGCAGGAAGCGAGGAGATGAGGAGGGGAGAGTATAGCGTGGGCCAGGTAAGGCAGGGGATACGATAGTGATGAGGGAGAAAAACTGAAAGGGAGAAGCAAGGGATGAACAGGTGAAGAGCGGGACGGTCATGGTGCACAGTGCGTCATGGATAGGCACAATGCAAGACACGCAGACGAATTTGCGGCGCTTAGAAAAGGGTACAACGACGAAATGTACACAATTCCCGACGAATCATGCGGTACGACTTGCCCTAAGGGCCACGAATCAAGCCGAGATTAGCGCCTTGAACTCTAAAAAAATCGTGAGAAGACCTGAATACATGAGTCGCAACCCTAATGCTCAGTTCAACCGCGCCAGCGTATCCTTTGCGCGTCGACTCTTGCCCCCGAGAGTACGCTAAGATCATTTCTACGCGAACTTCACACATGGCGTTGAACCCAAAAAAGAGTGCCCCCCCCAAAGACAACGGCATACTACACCATACGGAACCCACCCGTCAACAGCACCTGTTCGTCCAACTCCTACTTAAATGAGAGTGCCACCGAACTATACAGAAACTACAAAATCGAAACTGCCACACCTACGCAGTTCGGTGTACAGCGAATAGAGTCCTGAGTCGTGTGCGCGTTCATACTCGTATCTGCCCTGCGATCAGGCTCCCGACAAGAATAAAAACAGGCTTTCCAAAGCGTCTGGCGCTCGGAAACCCTAACGGACCCTGCTAACCAACTTTGAATGAAGTCGATGTCAGACAATGTCGCCCTGACGGCTCCTTCTAAAATATCTTCGAAGTCAGAAGCCAATGCGAACTAAAACAAAAAAACAACGGCACCGTACCGGCCCCCTCCTCCGTTTCTGACTGGTAATTCTGAGCAATATATTCACTCCAACCGCGACGCGGGCGCGCCTGACGACGGCAACAAATCGTTCCTACGCCGAGCCCTTTCTGGTGAAAACGGCAAGATAGCCAGATCTGTGCAACCCTAATCCTGCTTCGTCCAACCAATCGTTCCATCACCGCAGTAAATCCCTGCGTACCGACCCTCTACGATGCTAGCCCCTCCGCTACAAGCCCTAACTACGCGCGATCGCCCAACCAACGCCATAGCTGCTACTAAGGAGCACTCACCATGGCGGCTGAAGCGGTGTGGCAGGTGTGTGGAGACTAACGGGGAGGAAAAGAGCCAGAGATAGGTAACGAGCAGGATTTGAGAGGCAGGGTTGTGCCTGCTGGGTGGGGGGACGGGGCAGCGGGGATTCGCGGGAAACGGAAGGCGGAGTGCAGTTGGGGAGGGGAATTGGGTTTGGGAAGCGGGAGGAGGGGGAGAAACTGGAAAACTAGAGCCTTGGGCTCCCTGCCTGGAGCTGGTGGTTGCCACCCGATTGTCGCTTGTGGAATCGCTGTTGCGTGTAATGAACTAACTCGATACACATCTACGTAGCTGTTAGCCTACAGATCGTCTGGATATACAAATACTAAAGAGTGACGCATGAAAAATAAAACTGGTGTGCTAACACACGCCAAAGTTGTTGCGATCAGAAGTTGATCGTAACCAGGATCACCTCAGGAAGGTTCGCACACTACTGGGTTGTGGTGGTGGGCCCTTGACCTCAATAGCAGAGTGAATGTAAATGCTTGAGATGATGAAAACATGCAGTACAAGGAATATAAATAAGAGTACAGGGGAATTCGAAGCGACCTAGCTAGCCATGTACTCTAAGGGGTATATTCCCTTATTGCATTGAAATCCAACTGTGCGACTCCGGGTGGTTACGAAACCGTTCGGGCAGAGTCCTCTCCACTGCTGCTGCCTGATGCTGTCTACCCGACGGTCCAGATGCTTCTCGTAACCGTGTGACCCTTCGCGTCACTTGCACCTTTTTCGTCTTCAGTCTCGGTAGTGCATGCTGCGTTTGCTGCGGTGAGGAGTGTACAATAGTATTTCAGTAATCACTATTCGTAACACCCCCCTTCACTCCTGGCCGTAGCAGGTCTTGACCCGTTTGACTACCCCACTGAGTTCGGAGCAGTGCTGGTACTGCTGACGCGGCAGTTTCTTTGTGAGGGAGTCTGCTGCCATGTCACCCGTCGGGCAGTAGACCAGATCAACCTTGCCCTTGTCAACTTAGTCTTTGACGAAGAAGTACCGCAGCGCGATGTGTTTGGTGCGGTTAACGAATCCGGGTTTGTTCGCAATTTGGATCGCGCTTTGGTTGTCGCAGTGCAGGCGAAAGTTCGCTGAGGCAGGGATTTTCGCCTCCTGCAGTAGCTCCCGAAGGTAGAGGCCTTCGCGAACGGCTGCTGTTGCTGCGATGAACTCGGCTTCCGCTGATAACAGGGCAACCAGCTCCTGCTTCTGAGAGTTCCAGGAGATGGGGCCACTGGGCTCGAGGCGAAAGAGGAAGCCTGTCCTGGACCGTCGATTGTCGGGATCAGCGGCATGATCTGCATCCACGTAGCCGACGAGACTAAAGGATGCGGTTGGGATGGTGGAGTAGTAGAGCCCAACATTGGGCGTATAGATGAAGAATTGGAGGGCTCACTGAAGATCTGAGAGGTTCTCAGCCGTTGGTTTCCGTGAGTACTGAGCCAACTGGCTCGCGATGTAGGAAAGGTCGGGCCTGCAGGTAACAGATGCAAAGAGCAGGCAACCCAGCTGCTGCTGGTAGGTGTGAAGTCCAGCAGGGGACAGGGTTTTGTTGTCAGGTTTGTGGTTGGGTCCTAGAGTGCGGTAAGGGGTGGAGAGTGGTGCAGGTGAAATGTTGAAGCGCTTGCTTAGCTCCTCTGCGTACTTCGCTGCCGAGAGATGAATGGCTTCCGGTGAGTAGGTGATGTTGAGCCCAAGAAACTGCTTCACGTCATGATTGCAGGTGATGTCGACGCGCGCTGCAAGACTCTTCTCAAATTGCTCAAGCAATTCGTTGCTCGACCCTGTGTAGAGAAGGTCGTCGACGTAGACCGTGAGTAGGATGTATTCGCCGCGGAAATCGCGGCGATACATCCCAGGGTCGTGAGGCAACTGCTTGAATCCGATTTCAAGCAGTATGTTGTGCAGGTACTGCTGCCAGAGTCTCGGCGCCTGTTTAATCCCATGCAGGGACTTGTGTAGCTGACAGACACGTGGGTCCCCGTCACCGTATGTGTGAGGCTGCTCTACGTAGATCACTGCATCTACTGACGCGTACAGGAACACGTTCTTCACATCAATCTGTCGTAGCGGCAGGTGTGATGCGGCTGCGATGGCGAGGAGAATTATAACGGACGTGTGACGGCTAACCGGTGCGAACGTCTGGTCGAAGTCGATCCCATGCCTCTGATCGTAGCCTCGCACCACCCAACGTGCCTTGAATTGCTCAATCGTCCCGTCAGCTCCTGTCTTCACGCGGAAGACCCACTTTCCGGAGAGGATTCTTCTCCCCTTTACTGCTGCACGGTCGACGAGCACCCAGGTGTCGCGTGACTCGAGTGCCCGAATTTCCGCATCCATTGCTTCGCGCCACTCCTTGCTGTGAGGTCTCGTGAGAGCTTGCCGTGGGTTTTTAGGCTCCATGATGCGCGGAGTTGTGGAGATGGCAGCGTGAAGTCCCAGAAGCTGAAGGCCAGTGACGGTAATGTTGTGGCGGTGTTGAGTGACGACTTTCTGCACGTCGTCATCATCGCTTTCTGGTTTGGGTGGCGCTGGTGGTGCTGCGCCTCCTGTTGCGCCTCCTATTGCACCTCCTGTTGTGCCTCCTATTGCGCCTCCTGTTGCGCCTCCTGTTGCGCCTCCTGTTGCACCCGCTCCTCCTTCTTCCGAATCATCGTCGTCGTCGTCGTGGCGATCGCCTCTCGTGAACTCGCCTCTAGGATCCTGCTCCAGAATTGCTGCTGCGGCTTCGTCCTCGGGTGAGGTGTAACTGTGCCCTTCGTTGGCGTAGACGCGATTGGCGTTCGTTTGCTCGTCGTCACGGAATTGCCGCAGGAAGAGCCGCTCGTAGAAGATGACGTCGCGCGCATTCGTGATTTTCTGGCTCAGGAGATCCAGGATGATCCATGCTTTGTGTTCGTGACTGATGGCGAGGTGGATTCCCCAGCGCGTGCGGCTCTTAAATTTCCCGATGGTTGATGTTGGCGGTCGGTATTGAACCATGCACCCCCATACGCGGAGCATGGAAGTGTCCCCCTTTCTTCCCGTCCATTTCACATGCGGCGAGGAATTCCCGGTGATCGCAGTGGTTGACAGCAGGTTGTGCACCCGCACGGCGTGGTGCATCGCGTAGGTCCAGTAGATTGGCGGGAGCTTTGATTGCCTCATTAGCGCCCGCACCTTCGTCATGAAGGTGTGATTCGTGCGCTCTGGTACGCCCTGCTGCTGGTGCGCGTAGGGGAGAGAGATGTGGTGCTCAATCCCCTTTTGCGTAAGAGTCTTGCAGCTCCTTGCTCCTGAATTCTGCCGCGCCGTCGGACTGCGAGATCTTCATTTTTTCCCCAGATTGCCGCTGCGCGTGCGCCAGCCACAGGCAGAATGCTTCGTAGGCTCTGCTGCGCGATTCCACGTTTACGACCCACGCGTGGCGTGTTCCGGCGTTGACGAAGGTGAGTGTGTAGAGCTCGTTGTTGATGCCGCAGTGTCCTACGTTGAGAAAGTCACTGTAAACTTTCTCCAATTTGGCGTAGCGATTGGTTCCTAGCTCGAGCAAAAGGAAGGGCTGGTGACTTAGCGCAGCTTCGGGGCAGATGGTGCAGGTGCGCGGGTGAGTTCCGCCTCTTACTTCGGAGCCGTCAGGGCGCAGTAGTGCGCCAGGTGCGAAGACACCGGCCTCGATGCAGTTCTTCAGGGTCACGCGCGAAGGGTGACCCAGGCGATGGTGCCAGATGGTATCGTCGGCGCGGAATCTGGAGGTGCGCATGTAGCGTGCAAGTGCT